GAAACACCAAAGATGCTTTAATATGTTGTGCGTTTTAATAGACCAGTGACGACTACACAGAGTAGCATTATAACAGAAATGTCAAATGTATCTAGTATGATAAAACAGCGCTGCTTTACCCCACATACGCACGACCGGAAGGAGCGGAAGCGGTCGACTGTGGCATAATAAAAGCTCCGCTGCTTTCGAGCCATGTTTCACGCTCGTTCAGCGGCCTCGTTTCACTTCAACGGCTTTCAGCCTCACCCTGCTTCATTCTACAACGTTAATAAATCATTAGCTCATCCATGAACATGATTTCTGCCCGAGTCCCGTCGGATTGCATCGGCTGTGGGGATGAAGACCACAACTTCCATGATTCCACACTCAGTCACGGCGTCATCAAACTACACCTTTGTCTATTTGTTTATTTTGAATACGTGCCCTCCAGTGGTGAAAATTTTTGTAACATTGGTAACTTATGTTACTGTTATGGTGAATGACGTCAAGTTGACCCTTCAAATACGGCGGACGGCTTACGTATAGCGGCCCATAACAGTCACTAATGAGGCATCTACGTATACATATCTATGAGACGTGGATTTCTAGTTCCCAGCATACTTTGCATAGGACTGGATAAGGAGAGTAAATGTTGAAATTAAGTGTATTTTATGTTTTTTTTGTGAAGGGAAAGACCCATTAGTGTTTAATACTGTTATGTTTGACACTTAAAAGAGTTTCTGTTATGTTGGAAGTTTTTATGGTTACGATTGTGCTGAAGAGTAGAGCACATGAAGGTAAACACATTGACTATATTAGCAATGACTGCGCTAATGCCAGTGAAAAGTAACAAATTACCTGTTCATTATACATGCTAAGTTACATTTAGCATGTGCCATGATAGCTGTGGATTTTAACTGAAAAAAGTTAACAAATTGGTTTCAGGCCAACAAATTCATTCTTCGGAGCAACTTAATTGTTTTTAGTAATTAACTTAAAAATATGTTTGTTACAAATTGCTAAGTTCTTCTAACTCAATGTAGTTTGTTGGTTGAACATAATTTCATTAGAAGTTGTCATAACTCAAAAAAAAATGATGTAAACTGTTGCGTTAATTTTTTTTGTTGAGCTAGCACATTTTTTTTTTTAGAGTGTACAGTACAGCTCACGAAATCAGGCTTGTGCTGTGTGTAAGCTATTGTGCAGCAATTGCGACATTGTAAAAACAAAAATGCACTGCATGATCAAACATTTAGGTGCGATAATTATATTTTTGAAAAATGTCTAAATAAAAAAATATATGTCACACCCCCCACAAGAGTCACCTAAAAGGGGAATTTCCCCTATTTTAAAAAAAAAAATTCAGGCCCTGAATGAATGTCTGTAAAAATCCTGATTGGAGCATCACTATAAAAAGATCGACATCGGTGATGTATCGGCAGATATTGCTTCCGGTGATCGGCTTTCAAAATCCTGATCGCACCCTTATTAAGCAGCGATCGGATGACCACAAACAAGCAATGCTGATAATAAATATTTATTATTTGCTGATAATATTATTCGACTGGCACAGCGGCCTATATGTAATGGACAAAAAATGTGTATAATGATCGCCGAGTTGGTAAAATGGCAGCGGCGGCCGGAATAACAATCATTCGGCACAGCGGCCTGCATAGATGCATACATGCATGCCTGTGATAGATTTAAAATAACTAACCCACTGATGATCGAAATACTTGAAAAGCGTAAGTGCTGGGAGTGGGACTGCGATGCCTCTCAAAAGTTTTGGTTTTCTGCACCAAATTAAACTCTGATAAATTTGGTCTTCCCTTTCCGATTAAAACCACGAGCCGGTGTAGACTTTGAGCGTGCGCTGCAACGATCGTGATATATAGTCACGGACACTGTGTAAAAATATGAACTAATAGTTATCACCTTACCGAGTTGATTGATTAAATTGATAATTGCAAAAATGTTTTGTATTACAAGTTTTGTAAAATGTTATGTTTAAATATGCAAATGAGGCATTATTTAATTAAATATGCGCGAAT